GTGACGGGACCCGCTCCGCACCCGCTGTGCAGGGGATGGGACACGGTGAGGGGACCCGCTCCGCACGGCTGTGGAGGGTCCACAGTGTGGGACACGGTGGGGAGCTCCGATCCTGCCAGTTCTGAGCCGTGAGGATGCTGCTGACCCTGATCCCACCCAGGGAAGGGGACAGGAGTGGCTGGAATTCCCAAAGAGATGAATCACCGGCGTTGCTGGGAGAATAAATAATAGAATTGCGGGATGGTTTGGATTGAAGGGAATGGTTTGTGCTGGAAAGGACCTTACAGCTCATCTTGTCCCATCCCATGCCATGGGCAGGGACACCTTCCACTGTCCCAGGCTGCTCCAAGCCCTGTCCAGCCTGGCCTTGGGCACTGCCAGGGATCCAGGGGCAGCCACAGCTGCTCTGGGCACCTGTGCCAGGGCCTGCCCACCCTCCCAGCCAGGAATTCCTCCCCAGTATCCATGAATCCCTGCCCCCTGGCAGTGGAAGCCATTCCCTGTGTCCTGGCACTCCATCCCTTGTCCAAAACCCCTCTCCCTCTTTTTCCTCAGATCTCTTCAGGTCCTGAATGGCCACAAAGTGTCACAGGGAGCAGAGGAGAATTTCCAGAGGGATTTTTCCCTCTGATCTGATCCCTCCTGACGATGAGCCGTTGCTGTTGGCCACCGTGGCTTGGAGCAGCAGGGGTGATTCCCCATGGAAAGATGAAGTGCCCGGGGTGTGTCCAGCACCGGGAAGCAGCTCCTGCTGGGCTGGCCGGGGATGGTTTATTGCAGGGCTGGGTGAGTCAGCAGCACATGATGCCAGAGCAGGGAGAACTTCCCAGCAGTGCCAGCAGATCCAGCATGGACAGTGCCATGGGATCCCACCGAGTCTGGGAACCCCGGCCAGGCCACATTCCCGAGCCACCCTAACCCTCAGTGCCATCTGCAAGCTTGTGGGAGCCCCAGGTTTTGGGATCCCCCATCATGACTGGCCCAGCAGGAATCTGAGTGGGAGCTTGGCATTCCAGAGTGCTCCCAGAGTTTATTCCCAGCGTCCCCAAGGTCCTTGCAATGCCTTCAAAGTCTTCAGGGAGTCTCCAAGGATGACCTCAAGGTCCTCATGGTGTCCCTTAGGTCCCCAGGGTGTTTAAAATGCCTCTAGAGTGGTCACAAATGTCCCCAAGTTGTCTCTCAGAGTGTCCCCCTCAACCTCTGGCCGTATCCGAGGCCAGCATCCAGAAGGAGCAAACTGCCCAGTAAAATGCTCCTTCTTTCTATGTTCCCAGTTTATTGCAGCAGGAGGGAAAGCAGGAGAGGCACATCCACCCCACAGGTGCTCTGCACGCTCATCCCAGGTTCCCGTGGCTTTGTGAGGAATTTTGTTCATATGAGAGTTGAGGAATGGATTACCCACGACAAACAGGGGCACAGCCCCGTTGCAGGCGGCAGGGGAAAGGCTCTGTCTGCTCTCCACCCCAGCTCCCCACCTTACCCTGCTTCCACACTGCAGAGCCAGAAATTCCAACCCTCCCAGAGTGCTCTGACACCATTTCCCAAACACTTCATCTTTCCTTTCCCCCTATTTCTTTTGGCTTTAGTTCTATTTCCCTCATCCACACACACACGCTTGGCTTCTGTTTGCGTTTTCCATGCCGGTAGCTTTTAATTACACAGCGATTCAGTATTAATTACAGATTTACCCAAAGCAAAGGGCTCCGTGCTTTATCATGCAAATGCCTTCCCATGAATCCTGCAGGGCGGCTTTTCCTTCAAACGCCGCACGTCCTCCCGCTCCCATCCCCGACGGTGCCGCCCCGGCTGTGGCCGGAGGCGCTGGAAAGCTGGCACGGCTCGGCACGGCTTTGTTCTCGGCTCCAAAGGGCTGATTCCGGGTAAACCGGGCATCCAAACCTCTCACTGTGTCCAGTTCTGGGCCCTCAGTTTGGGAAGGATGTGGAGATGCTTGAGCACATCCAGAGGGGACAACGAGAGAGGGGCTGGGAACACAAACCCTGTGAGGAACCACTGAGGGAGCTGGGGGTGCTCAGCCTGGAGAAAAGGAGACTCAGGGGTGACCTTATTGCTCTCTGCACCTTCTGAAGGGAGGCTGCAGACAGGTGGGGTCGATCTCTGACAGAACCAGAGGACACAGCCTCCAGCTACATCAGGGAAGGATATTAGGAAGAAAATTTTCACCAAAAGAATAATAAAGCACTGGAATGCTCTTCCCAGGGAGGTGGTGGAATCACCATGTCTGGGTGTGTTTAAAAAGGACTGGACATGGCACTTGGTGCTATGGTCTAGTTGAGGTGTGAGGGCATAGGTTGGGCTTGGTGATCTTAGAGGTCTCTTCCATCCTCATCATTCTGTGATTCTGTGATTCTGTGATTCTGTGATTCAATCCAGAGCCAGATGTCAGTGCCACATCCAGGGGCTGCAGCTGGGCAAGATCCCACATGGATCCAGCTGGAGATGCCACNCGTTATCTGTTGTAAGTGTAAAATCAGTGTGTGAGGAGAGGGAGAACGCAACTGAATCACAACAGTGGCTCAGGATAAGGCTGTCATGAGGACAGTCATGTCATCCAGATGTGATCCTGGGCCACGAGCCCCTGAGCTGTCCTGTTCCTACCTGCAGGTGCAGCTCAGACAGGCTCTGGTGCTGATCACCCCCAGGTTCTGGGGCTGATCCACCATTCCTACCTCCAGGAGCAGTTCAGCCAGGTTCTGGGGCTGATCCACCATTCCTACCTCCAGGAGCAGCTCAGCCAGGTTCTGGTGCTGGTCCAGCAGCTGCAGTGCCGCTCTCTGGAGCTCCGCTGTGCTCCCAAAGGGGCTTCTCCTCTTCCTGGCTCTCCCTGCTGAGGAGTTTGGGTTTATGGAGCAGCGTGTGCCCAGAGCACCCCAAAACCACCTCGTGCTCCTGCTGCAGGGGATGGGGGCACAGAGGGGTGTGAGGGAAACACACGGGGGCCATGAGGGCAGAGACTGGGGGGTGTACACGGGCAGGTGTTGTGTCTCAGGGTATGGGGGCCATGAGAGCAGGGATTGGGGTGTACGAGGGCAGATGTGTGCCAGGGCACGGGAGTCATGAGTAAAGCACAGGGGGGTGTACAAGGGCTGATGTTGTGTCCTGGGGCACGGCGGCTTTGAAGAAAGCAGAGCGGGGTGCATGGAGCGGAACACGTGGGCAGAGGGAGGAGAGTGTGCAGGTATAGAAGGGGTGTACGAAGGCAGAGGGGGCACATTCACCGCCCCCGTCCCCTCCGCTGTCCCCGCGGGGA